AGAGAGAGAGAGAGAGAGAGAGAGAGAGGTGCTACAAACAACCATCATATTCTAGCTATAACGTTAGTAAGCAGTGGTCACCTGTGGTTACTTAACGATGAGTTTTTCAATTCATTGCAGTCGTATCTGAGATATGATGTTTGCAAGCAGCAGTCGTCGACAGCTACGGAGCTCAGAAATTATCGTTAAGTATCCAATACGACATTTATGTATTACGACCACATTTGGGATGCGTCATTAACAAGCAGAGGCCACTGACAACGGTGAGCAGGGGTGGTTGGTGGTGACCGACGACAATCGACATGTTGCGGTAGACTGTGGTTGGTGATTATGAAAGCTAATAGTTATTGTCAGATGTTTGGTCCATAACATCACTAGAAGTCAACTCGATCTCTCCCCTTCTCAAGTGAAGAAAAGGTGTCTATTTCTAGTATCTATAGAGAAACATCTTCATTATTTGTCGAATAACTCTCATAATCACCTGATTCGATGACCCATATTAACCTCTTTGATCAGATAATTTTTTTAATGATTTGAAATTCTTAATGACCTCATAACTAAGCAAACTTAGACTTCTTGGAATCCTCTTGTCAAGAAGCTTGATTTGAATATAAATATGTCAAATTTGGAGTTTATTTAATTATACAATTGATGACCCAAAACTTTCAAAAGTGATTTAATGACTTGATCCGAGTTTTATTGGATTAGATATAACCATCTTTGGTATCATTAGGTTCTCTTGTCGATATAGTTTTGAGCAAGACTCAACAAAAAAACAATAAAATCCCTAAAACGAATAACAAAAAATAAAAAAAATAAAAATAAAAGAAAGCAAAATTAAAAAAATCTAAAATGCAAATCATGAATTGGTTCTAAAAACCATATATTGGTTATAACTTATGTTACATCTAAATAGGGTTGTGAATGAGCTAAAGACGATCCATGAGAACATGATAGGTGGCTCGAGAGATGAGCTTGATGAAGTCAAACTCTAAACAACCCCTTGGCTCTTTAGTTCGTTAGCCAACTCATTTAAGAAAATATTAATATAAAATATTCTCAAAATATATTAAAATTCATGACTTTATTTTTAAATCTTAAAAATGTAAAAAAAAAGATATTTTCCATTTTATTATAGTAATTTCTTATTATTTATCCAGTAGTTGTTTATTATATTCATCATTTTATTATATAATTAGCTTAAACTAATATTATTTTTTATATTTTATAGTAGACAAGTTGGCTTGTGAGCCAGCTCGAAATTTTTAGACTTAAGCTCGAGCTCAACCTTGATTAGTTAATTAAAACTCAAGCTCAAGTAGAAGGCGACTTGAGCTTGACTCAGCTTATTATACCCTTATATCCAACAAATTTCAAGAAGGCAAGAAACAGTTCATTGCAACAACCAAAAAGGGTGCAATGAGGCGGGTTGAGCTAAATCACTGAAACAACAAAGTAAATTATTACTGATACCACAAAGAAATGATAAGAATCGGTTTCTTGATAATCGATTATGCGAGGATATCGACATCTCCAACTGCTTAGTAGGGGAGAATAGAGGAGAAACTCATATTAGATTCATAGAAAGAAATCGCAATTCGAGGATGCTGACAACTCCAAATATCTAGGGGTGAGAGAGAGAGAGAGAAATTACCACATCCTTATTTTTCAATTCATTTTATTGTCTCCAATATGAGCTATTTATAAAGGTACAATACTACTAATCATTATTAGCAAACTAATTAAGTATGTTTATTAAACTAAGACAATGACTAATCAGAATATTATACCTCATCATTATCAACTCCTTTAAAATGACATTGCCCTCAAGGTCAGCCAAGTGAGAGCCAACGACATAAAAGGTGATAATGGTTTGTGAATTCGAGCTATCAAAATGTCAAATAAAGTTCATTATGAATTATGAACAAAGATGCAACCTCATTTTCCGGTTGAGAAAACAACATTTTCGACAGAGACAAAGCAACCCCAAAAAATTTGCGGGGAATCCATAATAATTTGAGGATGCCAAAAACTCCAATAAGAACAATTTGCCCATTCCTTTCAACATTTCTCCAATAAGAACTATTTATAGAAGTGCAATGCTACTAAATATTATTAACAAGCTAGTTAATTATAACTATTAAACTAATATAATGACTAATCAGTATTACATCATATCAGAAAACCTCCAACACATGCCACACCGGGATCAATAAATGGAAAAGCAACCATAACATAAAAACGATATAATAATCCCTGCAAAATTAAAGTTATATGAATATCTACAATAAATGTTACAACAATTCAACCATATGAGAGGAGTTGAACGTGAACACCGAATTTAAAAAATGTACGTAAAAAAAATATCTGCATTGATCCTGAGAAAAACTAATGATCCAAAAGAAATGAGAATGATGAATGGGAGAGCCCATTGACAGAATATTGTGAGACTAACTTGTCTGACTAAGTGAAGTTGCCCGAGCCAAAACGATCGAGCCACGAGAAGGAGCCTGTAATTCGAGCTTGAACCATTCAATAAGAAATGAGTCAGAAATGCATCTGAGCCAACCACTACGTAAAAACTGATTTAAGGGAAGATCTAATCCCCCAACATCTCCAATCATTCTGAGGATGTTTAATGGTCCCTCATTAGTCAACAAGATCAACAACCTTACTAAATCAGTTGAACGACTCATGCCGACCAGGTCCAACCAATTGAGCTAACTCTTCAGAACAAGCTTAGCCGACCCAACTGATATTGGCGTCAAAAAGCTAATTAAGCTTAGCCGGCTAAGACAGAGAGCAGTCAAATGACGAACTCATACATGTAAAACACCAGAAATACTCTAGTATGAATCCTATTAAAGCAAGTGCAAAAATATAACATCTTCTTGTTGTACCATCTCTCTTATAAATAGGGAGATCATTTCATGAATAAAACACGACATATTACTGTTCACTCTTTTCTCTATCTCACACACTCTCTCCTTACACTTTCTTGCTTGGGCGCAATTCATGGACAAATCTAAATTCAATATATTAAAATATGTGTTGGGCATGGATCATGCCACAAACAAGAAGAGAAATAACTCAATGAGAAGAAACACACAACATAGACGCCTCCAACACGAAGTGCACTAGAGAGTTTGTAATTCAACAAATTCAAAAATTGAAGGATCAAATATTGGAGGCCATTCCTGCATAAAAGGAAAGAACTTAAGAGAGAAGTCTCTCTCTCTCTTGGAGAAACCTAATAATTCAAAAAGTCTATGATTAGTTAGATATTCTGGCTTACCGCAAGCTCGAGTTCAATAAATAATCACTAAAAAACTCTTTAAGGTCTTACACCCATCTCACTCCCTTCTACGTTTTCTCTACAAAAACAAGATCTTTATTGATTTGTATGTGCTCAAGAACAATAAGAAAAACTACATCATAAATAGATTCAACAATTAAGACGCTAAATATAACTCCATCACAGAGAATCATACTTCATGCATCAATATTAAAATTATTATAACTCTTTTTCCTGCTCTTAAGCTGAAGTAGCGGCCTCACCAACAATTTTTACTAAGAATAAAATATAAGCGAATTTAATAGTATTGGAGGTATTACAATACAAAAACTATCAAACTTGAAAGTAGCGGCCTCAAATACCAAAAATTTTTACTAAGAATAAAATATAAGCGGATTTAATAGCATTGGAGGTATTACAATACAAAAACTATCAAACTTGCAGGTTATCATGGCTCCTCAAATAGAAAGCCAATGTGCACATAACCCCTTCTTAAAAACAGCATAAAGCAAAAGCTAAAGCGTTGGAAGGACAGCAGATAAGCAGAACTAAATCAAGAGGGAGGGAAGGAAACTGTAAGAAAAGTTACAAGTGATCGCCTAAACCCTAATCGTCAGAGAGAGAGAGAGAGAGAGAGGAGAGAGAATGCGGCGGCGCAAGTCCTTCTTTTTCTTAACGTCGTTTCTCCTCCTCCTCCCGCCTTCCTTCTCTGCGGCGACGGCCTCATCTCTCGATTCCGACGTCAGAGCTCTCCTCGCATTCCGCTTTGCCTCTGATCCCGCCGGCCACCTCTCCTCCTGGAATCTTTCCTCCTCCGCCGCCGACCCCTGTTCTTCCTGGCTTGGTCTCTCCTGCTCCTCTGGCCGCATCACTCGCTTAGTTCTCGAGAACCTATCCCTCGCCGCCACCTCTCATTCTTTCTTCCCGTCCATCCTCCTCCTCGACCAGCTCCGCGTCCTCAGCCTCAAATCAAACTCTTTCTCTGGCCCCATTCCCCCAGACATATCCACCCTCAGAGCTCTCAAGCTTCTTTTCCTTTCTCACAACTCCTTCTCCGGCCCAATTCCCCCCTCTTTTTCCTCCCTCCACCGCCTCAACCGTCTCGACCTCTCCTTCAACAATCTCTCCGGCCCTATTCCGAACCTCCCTCCTCCACGGTAAAGCCCCTTTTTTGTGCCGCCTCAATTGCTGCAACAGCTGAATATTTACAAAAGCTTGCTGCTTTCTTCGACAGGGAACAGAGGGCCAGGGAGGACGCCGTTAGACTGGGCGGCTAGGATGCGGATAGCGGCGGCGGCGGCGCGAGGGCTTTTGTTCGTTCACCATTATTCCCGTTCGCCGAAGCTCGCTCACGGTAATGTAAAGTCGACCAACATCCTCCTCGACAAGTCCGGCGCCGCTCGGCTCGCCGACGTTGGCCTCGCATTTCTCGGCAAAGCGGCGGAGAGAAGGTTCTGTGGATACCGGCCTCCGGAG